CATTTTTTCTGTATTAGTCACATGACCATGGGCGTGGCCTGATGACGTCATCACTAGTGTTACTGATCGTGAAAAAGCTAAAACATGAAATAACTCTGAACTAACTAAAAATGATGAGGTTATATGAGAATAAACTTTCCTTAGCAACGGCTCGAAAAGATCGGTTAATGAGCCCTTAAGGCAACGTTATAGCTTCTAAAATTATTTATTTACATACAAGCGACTATTTCAAAATCTGAAAGCATGAATTCTCACGAGCATCATCACATGGTTTGAAATGGGGCAACAAACCGCTCGAGCTAAAAAGGACTATTGCGTATAGTAAGCTTTAATACCAGATTTTCTTGGAGGCGTTGCGAAAACACATGCCCGACATATTCTTGGCATTGAGTTTCTGGAGCAACTTCACAATTCAGGGCCACTTTTGAAGGTCCCTATAGTTGGTGGCTCGTCTGGCTTGTTTGGCTCGGCAGCGGATAAAAAAAGGAGTAATCTATATACGCGTTAAGTCCTAGGTCTATGTATTTAGTGGCTCGTCTGGCTCGTTTGGCCCGGCAGTGGATGACAAAGGAGCAAACGAGCCAAACGAGCCGGCTCTTTCGGTGGATGATTAGAAGCGGCCCTGTATTCTGTAGTTTAGCCGAGTCCCTTTCCTACCATACTTCACACAAAGGCTGGAACTCTGGCAATTCTTAGGGGAGTAATCCTTCCTCCTTTTCTCGAAAAATTGTAAAAGCGAAACGCAGCATTATGATATGTCATTTTACATCGTAGTCGAGCCTAGTTGATAATTTATTCAAACAACCGTGTTGCATTCTTTGCCGTGTGATTTTCCATTACAATTTCACTGAATTGCTAATATCCTAAATAGAAGTATATTTTGATAGATTGTTTCACTTTAGCGTCGATTGCACCACTACACCTCACAACAAAGATCCTCGCTACGTACGGACCTGGTGAGATTGAACTCGAGTACTTCTAGCCCGCGAGCAGGCTCACGTTGGAGCACAAACGCGCGAGGCGAGCAAGTGAGCCTGCTCTGATCTCCGCAAATTTTGTATTTTCACCCCGGAAACCGCAGAAGAGAATAAGTCAATTACTTTTCACCGGAAGTATGACCTTTCCAGCACAGATTTCTCGGGAAAATTGTAAATCTTGTGAAAGTGAATTAATCAACATGACACGAGCGTGGGACAAAG